AATTTTTCAAAAGAACAAACATTCAATAACAAGTCTTTTCAGACAGGTAAGAAAAAAATAATAACTTTTGGATAAAAAAACTTCAGATTTCTTAACATTTATTAATGGTACCATCACGGTCTCTGTGCAAAATGACAAAARYCWAAATTATTTCTTTARTAAAACCTCTGTAACTTTGTTCCAGTTAATTTTAGCAGCATGAATCTTTGCACAGGTGATGTCCACAAGTGGATTTATGGTTTCCAGGGGTTTTTAGCCTGATTCATTGTGGTTTTAAATGGGTTAAATACTGTCTAATAAAAAATATTCAGATGGGAGGGAAAAAAATGTAAAAAATAATTATGTTACATCCTCAATATCTCTAGAACAACAACAGCTGTTTTAATATTTACACTTCTAATAAAATCTCCCCAGTTTTAGCTTTCTTTTGACACCAAGATGATTTGAGTAGAATTTGTAAATGCTGAGATACACTCAGTCACTTTTCAGCATGGTATTTGAGCAAAAACATAAAAAAACCCTAGGAGATTGAGAGGTTAAAGGCACAAGTGTGAAATCATCTGAGAGATGATGCTGTTGTGAAAGCTCACCTCGGATGATGAACTCCTGGCCGTCAACTCGAGCATCTCCTTTGGAGCGCTGCAGCAGGGTGATCCAGTGGTGCATCTCCTCGGGCGTGTCGGCATTGCAATGCAGCACACGGTTTGCCGTGATTATGACGAAAGAGTTTGGTCTGGAACACAGAACAGGTTTGGTTAATGAGAGGACAGATTACAGGAGGAGCCTGTGAGGACACTCCTTACCTTTCTGGATTGTCTGACGCACAAACCGAATCGATCATCCCCACGTCCAGTGTGCCCTGAAGAGACCAGATACAAACATGAGGGAGGATTCAGTAACTGACACATCTTACTGTAGGTAATGGAACAGAAAAACTTTGTTTTCCCAGACTCACCACAGCATTCTGAGGGTTGGCCTGCTCGTCGTGCATCTCACTGATCTCCTGTTCCGTGGAGCCTTGGACATGACTCAGCACGCTGAACCARTGACTGCAGCCATGGAAGCAACATTATTACATTTCACACTTGTAATCTCTCACTTTGGTTTTCCTCTCTGATGAATAAATGGGCGATGCAGAGGTGATAGTTTACCTGGCGTCCTCGGCAGACTCTGCGATCAGATGATAAGTTCTCTCTGGCATCACGATGTCGATCCCGTTCTCCTTCCCCGTGTTATCGATGATTTCTCTGCAGATAACACAAATTACAACGTTGACTCCTCATGTTTCGCAACATTTCTTTGAASTTCTGTTACCTTCAGATCTGTCACCTGAACCTGGACATGTTTGGTATCGAGAAACCTCAGAGTCTCACATCAACCAAACAGTTCAAACATCAAGCAGCTGAATCAGAAAGTAAACAAACTAAATGGCATCAATGCAAATCTGTAAAAAAGATTTCTGACTTTTTTTTTTAAACAAGACAAAGCAGATACCAAAATATGTTGTAAAATCTGTTGAAAGTTTTTTTTTGATTGATTTTGAGTTCGATAGTCGAACCTCAGATTCTGGAGGAACAATGCGGGTTCAGTCCTGGCTGTGGAACACTGGACCAACTCTTTACCCTCACTAGGGTCCTCCAGGGGTCATGGAAGTTTGCTGACCCTGTCTACATGTGTTTTGTGGACTTGGAGAAGGCATTCGACTGTGGGGGGTGCTACGTGAGTATGGGATTGTGGGTCCGTTGTTAATGGTAATGGTAATTGGGGATGGGTACAACCCAGGTGAGCGGGGGCCTCATACGTGGGCCCATTGCTCTCCCCAAAAGATACTGGGCTTTAATCAAACCTTTTTGTCCCTCGGATGAAGGACACCAGGTTAGAAACCCTCAGTGTTCTAAGCTTCTCGGGATCCACAAAGGGGTCTCCAAGAATTCTTTCCCTTAGACTACTCAGAGCCAAGCATTGGCCTAAGTAGCGCAAAGAGGTCTCTGATTCAATGTCGCAGGCATCACACAGACCATTGTCTTGGAGTCCCATCACCATTTTATGGCGGTTGAGCAGATTGTGCCCAGTTAGGACTCCAACCAGTGTACTTAAAGTATTCCTTGTCAAGGCAAGAAGGGATTTTCCAAATCCATGATTTGGGCCGTTTATCAGTTCCCGTGCCTGTCTACAATCCGTCAGCTCCCTCCATCGGATTGAGTGTTGACGTCTGATCCATGCCTGTAGGGCAGTCCTGCAGATTGTTGGTGAAACGCCCATAACAGGCTCTGGTCCTTTAAAGTGGGCCTGACTGCCAGCTCTTGCAAGGCAGTCAGCTCTCTCGTTACCATAAATGCCAGTATGTCCTGGCATTTTTTATTGATTTTGAGTTCGATAGTCGAACCTCAGATTCTGGAGGAACAATGCGGGTTCAGTCCTGGCTGTGGAACACTGGACCAACTCTTTACCCTCACTAGGGTCCTCCAGGGGTCATGGAAGTTTGCTGATCCAGTCTACATGTGTTTTGTGGACTTGGAGAAGGCATTCGACTGTGGCGGGTGCTACGTGAGTATGGGATTGTGGGTCCGTTGTTACAGGTCATTCAGTCTCTATACAAGCAGTGAGAGTTTGGTTCATTGACGGTAGTAAGTCGGACCCCTTCCGAGTGGGAATTGGACTCCATCAGGGCTGCCCATTGTCACCGGTTCTGTTCATTACTTACATGGGCAGAATTTCTGGGTGCAGCCAGGGGGCAGAYGGAGTCCGGTTCAGTGGCCTCAGGACTTCATCTCTGCTGTTTGCAGATAATGTGGTTCTGTTGGAGCCAGGATCTTCAGRTCTCACTGGAGCAGTTCACAGCTGAGATGAGGATCAGCACCTMTAGATCTGAGTCCATGGTCTTCAGTTGGTAAAGASTGGATTTCTCTGTCRGGGTTGGGGYTGAAGTTCTGCCTCAAGTGGAGGAGTTCAAGGATCTTGGAGTCTTGCTCATGAGTGAGGGAAGATTGGAGCGTGAGATTGGTAGACGGATCAGTGCAGCTTCTGGAGTGTTGTGGACTCTGTACCGGTCTGTTGTGGTGAAGAGGGAGCTGAGCTGTAAGGTAAAGCTCTCTGTTTACTGATCAGTCTACGTTCCTACCCTCATCTATGGTCACAAGCTTTCGGTAGTGACCAAAAGAACAAGATCACAGAAACAAGTGGTTGAAATGACTTTTCTTCGCAGAGTGTCTGGACTCTCCCTTAGAGACAGGCTGAGAAGCTCAGTCATCCAGGAGAGACTCAGAGTAGAGCCGCTGCTCCTCCACGTTGAGAGGAGCCAGTTGAGGTGGTTTAAGAATCTAGTAAGGAAAACCTGGACGCCTCCCTGGGGAGGTGCTTCAGGCATGTCTAACTGGGAGGAGACTCAGAGGAAGACCCAGGACACGCTGGAGAGACTATGACTCTCAGCTGGCCTGGGAACACCTTGGAGTCCTCCCAGAAGAGCTGGAAGAGGTGGCTGGAGACAGAGAGGTCTGGGCTTCCCTGCTCAACCTGCTGCCCCCGAGACCCGACTTTGGATAAAGCGGAAGATAACGGATGGATGGATTTTGGGTGAATAGGCTCCAACTGAATATAATTTCTTTTAGTTTTATATAATATATATTGTGACAAAAAGATTTGGATGAATTTTCAAAAAACAAGTTTTTTTCAGGCAGGTAAGATAAACAACTTTTGCATTTAAAAGCTATTAAAAGGTTTCCTAACATTTATTGATGGTACCAACAGAAAATTAAAACCTCTGTAACTTTGCTCGAGTTCATTTTAGCAGCATGAATCTTTGCACAGGTAATGTTCACATGTGGATTTAAAGTTTCCAAGATTTTTAACCTGATTCATTATGGTTTTAAATAGGTTATACTGTCTAATGCAAAATTCTTTAGGCGGGAGGGGAAATTAAAGAAAAAGAAATTATGTTCCATCCTCAATCTCTTTAAAACAACAGCAGGTGTTTTAATCCTCACACTTCAGATTAAATCTCCAAAATGTTAGCTTTATTTTGATACCAAGATCATTTAAGTAGAGTTTGTAAAAGCTGAGATATATTTTGGCATGGTGTTTCGAGTAAAAACAAAAAAAGTGGGGCTAACATTCTGCTGGTTGTCCATCAGGACATGTTCATGAATATAAAAGCTTACTTTTTACCAATGTTCTCAGTGAATAAACTGTTTAGTTTGAATCTTACTTGGCGTTGTGCATGTCCAGCACCCCCTTCATCTTCTCCTCGCTGTCGTTCTCGAAGTACATCAGCTTGCTCTGCCGCAGCACAAACCAGCGGCGCTTCCAGTTGCGACGGGACAGCGTGGACGAGCCGCCTCCCTTCTTGTGCAGCCAGCCCTGTTTCAGCGCCTCCTGCTTGGCCCGGAACCACAGGAAGGTCTCGTCCTTCAGCACGCACCAGCGCCGCTTCCACGTGTTCATCAGGCCACCTGGTGGAGACAGAATGTGACCTCCTCCTCTCATTTGATTTAAAAACACTATAATAAAGGAGCTACCTTTGATGAAGAGGAAGCTGTGGAAGTACGGGAGGGTGACGCAGCTGTAGACCGAGTCCCGGCGGTACGACAGCTCGTCGTCCGTGTCAAACCTGTCGAAGTCGTCTTCACTGTCCTCAAACTGTGTTAAACAGATCGTAGAGTTTATGATTGGTTAATACGGCTTTCATCTTGGTCAAAGGAAAGAGCAGTCAGGATGAACCCACCGATGACTGAGCCCCCTCAGAGCTGAAGCGGTAAGCCCCGGAGCTGTTGTAGGTGCCCACAGAGCCGCGGTAATCCGGAGACCACTGACCGCTCAGAGAGTTGGTGAAGGCCACGCTGCCGCTGGACACCAGAGCGCCCTCATCGTAGTCGTCCTGATCGTAGTCCGAGTCCTCGTCGGGTGGGATCAGCTCCACCAGGTCGTCGGACTGCGCCTCCGACGAAGCCTGCGGGTGACAGTAGGAGGAGTCTCCGCTGGACGAGACGCTGTGACAGCCCAGGAGCGTGGGAGGCAGAGGGAGGGGCTGGTGCAGCAGGCTGGGGGGCGGCAGGGCCGGGATCACGCTGTCGTTGGCGTACGGATCTTCTTCAGACGAGTCGTCGCTCGTTCGGATCCCGCTGGTCCGCTGCCCGTCCGAGTGGCCGTGCTCGCTCGGGTTCGGCGAGTCTTTGAACGCCTCGTCGTCTGCCCCGAACCCTTCGTCGACCTCCTCTTCGTCGTTCCCCCTCCTCCGTCTGCCGTCCTTCTCACCTTCGTCCCCGACGCCCAACGAGCTCTCGATGTTCCTGACGCACTCGTCGATCTCGTCAAAGTTGAGGGACTGGAGGAACTGCTGCGCCGCCTTGCAGGCCTCGTCCTCCAGCCGCCGGAGCTCCTGGTCCCGCAGGCGCTGCAGGCGGAGGAGGGAGGCCTCGGTCAGGGACAGCTCCTGACGCTCCTTCTGCCTCTGCAGGGCCTGGATCTCTCGCTCCAGACGCAGGATCTCCTCCACCTGAGAGGCTTCGTGCGGTCGGATGGCCTCCTCCTCGAAGACTTCTGGCAGCTCCTGCAGTGTTTCAGGTGATGATGATGCTTCCAGCTGAGACTGAGCCAACACCTGAGAGGACAGCTCCTCTGCACGGAGAAGCTCCTCCAGTCTTCTTGCTTCCTCAGCCTGAAAGAGGAGAAATACAAAATATGAAAGTATTTCAGAAAACTTTCAGTAGGTGTGCAACAATCGAACCGTTCAAAACATTTATTTTCTCAACTTGTCTTCTGAAGATGCTCTGTGTTGAAGGATCAGTGGATCTGTGCTCGACTACTCCACCTAGGCTGCACTGTGGAGCACAGATCCACTGAGAAACTTGCTGTTTCAGCAACATTTAATTTAAAAACTGTACTTTTGAGGTTAAACAAATGTTCATAATTAATTTCAATAAATTATAAGTTAAGATAAGCACGGACATTTCTCTTTTTTGTATCGAAAAAAATATCAAACTGTGAGACTGAAGCATGGAACTTAATTATTATATTAATTATGGAGAAAATTTACCTTGAATAGTCAATCATACAGCTTATATTATCAGTTGAACCAATTTAAGAACGTAAATATTACTCCTAAAATACTTTAACCAAGTTTATGTGTAGTAAAAATTATAATTTTCTTATGAATCTTGAGATAAATAAAACAGATAAATAAAAAAATAACATTTTTTAGGAAGCAGAGCTGTTCTGCAAACAACTATCAAATTAATATCAAAGTCCTTCGTTTGTTTTTTTACTGAAAGTTTAAAAAAATAATACAAATTAAATTAATATTACCTCTCTAGCGAGTCTCTCGGCCTCCAACCTCTGTCTTTCTCTGCACAGACACAAAAACAAACATCAGCTAAATGGACATTAAATAATCCTGTTTATAGCTTTAGAAAACAATAAAAAGTGAAAAACACTCTGCTGCTACATGAGACCTCACCTCTCCATCTCCTCCTCTATCCTCCTGCAGCGCTCCTCTTCCTCCTCCCTCCTCCTCCTCTCCTCCAGGAGCTGGCTGAAGGCCCGGCGGGCCAGCTGGCCGCGGAGGCGCTTCTGGAAGGTGAGCGTGGCCCAGCGGAGGAGCAGGAACTTCCTCCTCCAGTAGAAAGCCCGGTAGTTCTTCTGAATGACCACGATGCACTGCAGCAGCTTCCTGTACTGCTTCCTGTCCACAGAGCGACACACACTGTCAGACCACCGGGTTTACCTGGGCGTGAGGAACGCATCAGTTCCTCTGAGGGTCCAGGTGAGTCATACCTGGCCATGTAGCCCATCACGTGGGCCTGGATGATCATGGCTGCTTTAAGCACCCCCACCTCCCTCTGCTTCTCCAGACGATGCTCCAGAGACTCCCGCAGGAAAACCTGAGTTTGACAAAGGTGTGTAAGAAAACTTAGTGTTCATTAACTAGTCGAGATGAAAACACACAAATGTTAAATAAACTGAAAAGTAAAAGGAATGAGGACCATACAAACACCAGTGACTGGATATGAACGGTGGTTTAATGCTCTCAATGAAAGCAGGAACCCAACGCTGACAAGAAGCTGGYAGTTCCAYCATTTTTAAACACGTCCTTCAGTGCCTGCTGCGCCCTCTACTGGCCTACGGCTGAATCGCAGACACTCAGACAAAAATACTCAACTAATGTTTTATTAACAGTTTTTTACGTGTTGTAAAAATGTTTTGGACATGTATCTAAACTATTTTAATCAAGACATAACAATAGTTAAACAATGGATTATAAAAGTCAATGCTTAAAAAGGAAAACTAAGAAAATGGTGTAACCTGACTAAAATTTCTTCAGGTGAAAAGTTAAAACTCAATTTATTCATCCTAAATAAAAGGAAGCTTAAATGTAATGACAAATTTAAATAAATATATTCTAAATCTGAATATTTGGTTTTAGAAAGAATCTGGAAATAAAATGTTTACAATTAAAATCAATTAATTACTGATTTCAACAGTTTTATTCACAGCTTATACGTTATAACTAAATAAAACCACAAAAACTGTTAGCTTTAAAATAGAATGCAAACTGCAGACAATATCCAAACATTTTAAAGACTAATTTAAAAGCAGTAAAACATGGTTTCATTAGGATTTTTATGTCATTGTTCACTCTGTCGTTTACACAGCTTGAGACAAAACCAGTGAAAGGAACGACATTTATCACTCTGGTTGTGCATTGTTCATGTGATGAATAAGGTTTTACAATCCTGCAGCATTAAAGAGAGTTTTTTATACTAAAAACCAGCGTTTAACGAACGTCCTTCCAGTGGAACAAAGAGTCGACAAATCAAATCCAGAGCCTCCTCTTCTTTTGTTAGCGCTACTAAAGACGCAGATTACTGCTGCCGGTGAGTTCTGCTACAGTTTTCTGTGAAAAGAGCCGAGCTACAGGCACTTAAAGCAGCTGGCTGCTACTGAAGCCAAGCTGCCGCTCATTGATAGAGAAACTGGGCCCACGGGGGCCAACGAGGTTAATCCGATTAGGGAGGGGAAGAAAATGAGATATGGGACACGGTCTCTGAGGACTGAGACAGTGGAGAAATATCACAGGGCTGCGAGGGTGTGTGTGTGTGTGTGTGTGTGTGTGTGTGTGTGTGTG